ATTCATGAACAATGAAATTTTATTAAAATATTCAGTTTGCAATAGTACTTCGTTATATAATAATTACATTTTTGTACAATATTGATTTCATTGTTAATGTATATTAATAGAATACATATTAAAATATTAGAAAATTTTGTGCTTAATTTTTCAATTAATATTTTTTTTTGCTTCAATTGAAGTAGTTATATAAGATTTTGTTATAATCAAATAAAGTTTAAATAAGATCTGCTAAAATCTATATTTCTACATTAAAAATAATGTTAAAAAGTGTATAACTTGAAAGATATTAACTTTTTATGACTAGCGTAAGAATACTGTAATAATAATTTTTATAACTTTTTCATAAAAATATCTCATCTTTTGTGGATTATTTTCAAGAAAATTTTTTTTAATAATGTAAAAAAAAATTCCAATGTCCGTATATATAAAATTTGTTCATTATTTAATCTTAATTACAAAATTTACATTTAAGTATTGCAATGAAAATGCTTGCATACATGTATAAAATTATTAAAAATTATTTAGAAAAATTATGGCCTGTATTAATACAAATATTAATTATTAAAGTTTATAATTAATTTGTATGGTAATTATATACTTTATCAATACTTGTGTGTATTTAGTTGCGACTTGTATATTTATAGGGTAGAGCAAAAATAGAAACATTCATAAATTTAGATGAATTATTCATGACATAATCAAATGGGTTTTCAATTTATTTAATAAAGAGTGAGCATTAATAGCTGCAAGAAAAATTAGGTACATTAACTTAAGTATCGATATGCCTACTAAAATCTGTTGGTATTCGAACAAGGGGAAAGAAGATAAAAGGAAGCGCTTTAGGAATCTCCGTAAAGGTCGCTGACTAATTTCCTGTCTCTTTCAGCTTCCACGATAAAAAGTCAATTTTATACCTGAAGCGCTCTAATGCTGTCTTTTTCGAGCGCGAGAAACTGGAAAAAAGAGATGTAGGAAGAGGGAAGAGCAGACACGATGAAAGTGAGAAATAAAAGAGAGACAGATAAACTATTTTTGAAGACTCTCTCGACCGATTTTATGGAGCTTATAAAAATGTGAGTGCGCTCACAACGTCTCTAAACTTGTATAGAAAGAACGTGTATAAAGAATAGTAAAGAAATAAATAAGGATGCACAACCTATATTATACAAAAGGCTACTGCAGATGACAAACTTTTCTTTGGTATACTATGTGGAGTCGTATTTTGTAAGTAGTAGTCGGGAAATCGTGGAAATTCGCTGTTTTTAGAAGTTATGTATGACTGTTATTTCTCGAAATAATTTTACCAACTATTATTAGGTAGATATTCAAATTCATAAGTTTAATATAAATTCAATATATTCTTATCTATTTAAATTAGAATACTTTATAACATTTGTAGGGTTATTTGAAGTATTGAGACTAGTCTCTTCAAGATATTGTATGAATTAGCTGAGCAAGCGATATAACACAGAATAAAGTATAGTATAGTTGTAACTGATAAGCTACACGTTTTGTACGATATAGCTTACTAACAAGGGAAAACATCACGAACAAGAATGTGAATCTATTTTTTTTTTTTTTTTTTTTTTTTTTTTTTTTTTTTTTTTTTTTTTTATTCTAGAGAATTGTCGATTCCATAGACAATATCATTAATTATTAAACCGCTATTATTTTGAAAACGATTTTCTGTCAATAAACGGTGTTACATTGTGAAAAATATCTAAATAATTGCAAATAATCTTTATTCAAAACATCATAATACTCGTCAAACGATTTTTAGAGTAGACTTATTGCGTTGTCTTAATTAGTATGCAATGAAATAATGAAAGAATCCGGAAGCTGAAACTGATGAAAATTAAGTAAATACAATCTTAGATATAAGATAAATAATAAACCTTATTATGCCAGGCAACAAAAAGATTAAGTGCTCCAAATTTTGAGAACGAATGATACATAAATAATATGTATAATTTCTTTGAGTACCATAATTTCTTTAATCAAATATTCACATTCAAATTTAAAACATTCTCGATTCAATTCAATTTAATTGTTATTTAAATCACTAAAAGCTCAATGGGGTAAGTAAAAACAAAAACGAAATAGAAGTAATAAAGTAAACAATAATTGAATAATAAAATGCTCTTTTATTGAGAAATTGTGAAAAACGTTTTAATTTGAGCTATAATATCTTGATATAACTTATTTATCGAATGTAATATATTTTAACTTTCACATCCGTTGGTGGCTATGTGATAAAGCTCGATAAGTAATGAAATCTACAAGTTTGAAGAAATTAATTCAAAATCTAAAAATGAAACCAACAAGAATTTCATATATTATACTTATTATTTTTTATTTCCAATAAAGACGCAATTTTCCAGATAATTGATATAGTTAACTTCATTCGTTTCATATTTAGTTTTGTAAAAGAAGTATTAATCATTATTTCAATAATTTTATATTAAAGAATTTAAAAACACTACTTTTCAGGTATTATTCATTTTGTATTATGTTTAGTATTATGTAGGTGCATTTCTAAATTATTTCAGTAGTTTTGATCAATATACAATCTGTACTAGAGAAATTCCGCGTATTGTCTAGATAACCTTTAGGTTAATAAAAATGTAACTAAATGATTAAAAATCATAGTGCTAGATACTTTTGAGGTGTATCAATTATTATGAGACTTATTACCGAGATTATATAATGCGAAGAATAGTGTTAAAAGGTAGTTTACGAGATAAATCGTACATAACAAATACAATCACAAAAACAATCGTACATGTCAATTATTGTAATAAGCTCATTGAATATAGTTATCGCATCACATTAAAATTCCAAGTATATTATATATTATAATTATTGCGTAGATTTTAATTAACACGTCATTATGTGCGAGTAAAAAAGTCAGTTTCGCAGTTATGACACTTTCTGCACCATTTCGAGAGTGACACGCGCTTACAGAGTACAGTCTCTGTTTTCGGACATCCAGTCACAATTATCCGTGCTCTCTCGCTCTGTCTGTCTGTCTGTCTGTCTGTCTGTCTGTCTGTCTGTCTGTCTGTCTGTCTGTCTGTCTGTCTGTCTGTCTGTCTGTCTCCCTGTCTCTCTCTCTCTCTCTCTCTCTCCTCTCACTTTACTATCGGTTGACCTTGTATAGCAGCAGCTGTTTGACTGTGGAAAAAAATCCAATAAACCTTTATCGTCCCTTTTTTGGCGAGTTTCGAAATACCAGAATCGAGGTTCTTAAAATCTATCAAGAGATGTAAAAAATAAGAGCGGGTGCGCTATTCGTTATTATTAGCATGAAAAAGAATAAATAGTTGAAGTTTATACATCCGATCGTTATATTTTCTTAACTGACTGAGATATTTTTATTTCTATTTTCTACTTCAGAGCTTAGATATTTTCACTTTACGGGCATACTGACAGAGATAATGATTCGCGTAAATCATGCGTTATTCAATAAAACAATGATAGTAGAGTACTTTCAAAAAATAATGATAATAAGAAACAAAATAAGAAATTTCATATTACAAAAAGAAAATATATTTATGCATTCTATTTTTATATAATTTAAAATATATAAACGACTATTATTATTATTGTAAGTAATTTTTGAAAGTGTCATTCAATCTCGTTAAAAAGTCAAGAGGCAAAGTAAGAAATATAATTACGCGTGTGGACAATTTTTTTTTACCAATACTCCTTTTTACGATATCCCTTAACATATACAGTATCGTTTCAAGTATTATAATCCTGTTTTATTTTTTAACCAAAATTTTTTTTTTAGTAATACAATTAACAATTACTCAAATAATTCTACGGTCTTATTACTTATTCTTACTTATTTTTTTATAAACTTAGTCATTAATTGTATTATAATCTTTAAACATGTAATATTTTGATAAAATAGATGTTTGCTGCAAATTTATTGCCCTCCAATTACTATTTCCAACTTGTAAATATCATCAAATATATAAATCATAGAATAAAATATTGATCAAACTAAAATCTTTTTTTATAATTTTAAAAATATGTTCTAATAATGTAAAGTTTCAATAATTTGAAACTTGTAGATTTATAAGTAAATTACAACAAATAAAATGAAATCAAAATAATATTAATTTCAACAAATTCTATTTCAAATATATTTGTTAACTACATTCTAAAGTATCGTTAAGAGTAATAAATAATGTATGGTTTATTGATTTATTTTTACAAAATATTAATAGTACATCAAGTGTTTGTAATAAAATCTTTATTGATATTTTTTTCAATAATGATTATAATTTCATAATAATAGTAACAATTGATTGTATTTAAATTATTATTTAAATTATATGCTGAAAAAATTTTTTTAAATTGGAAATAAAAGGAATTATTTATGTGAATACTGTATTATATAATAAATACTATAGTTATTATATTTAAGCATTTTCACATATGTTATTTAAATTATATTAATAATAATATTTGCATAAAAGATAAAATTTCCTTTTACTTTAATTTCATAATTACAAATTTCTTTTCGCTTAGAAATAATTAGAATTTTTCATTGCAGTAAATTATTATGTACAGTAAAATTATGTTATTTTTTATTGTATTGAATAGAAATACTTCAAACAATAATAAATAAAAAAATTTAATTAGTATTCTATCTAATTTTTTCTAATTACAAATATTTCAAAGATAAATATATCTACTAAATGTCAATATTATTCTTTTTTTATCAATTAAAATATTATTTATATTAAAAAATTTCTAATACAATAATATATATTTTAAATTATTAGCAACTAAAAAATAATAGTACCTTATTTTAAGATACCTACCTACTTTATTAGGTTTATGATATTCAATAACCTTTAGATTTTATTTTTATTTACTTTAATTAACTATTTAATTAAATTATTTTACTTTATTTATTTTATATTGAAATTATTAAATTACGTTTTTACAAAATAATATATAAACCATTTTAAATACAAGGAAAATTATTGTAAAAATAGATTCAATTTTTCATTTCATTGATACATTGTTCAGTTTGTTGCATATTTTCTTTCTTTTCAATGTTGGAATCCTTTTGAGCAGTACAGGTTTGACCTTTTGAACCGAAACCGGCCTTATTAAAAACTGGTGCTAGAGTTATCTGAAAATATAAATATGATTATCTAAATTGCATATATAATTATAATCGACAATATAGAATCGGAACAGTGCATTTCAAAGAATTTTGCATACAGTTTGCGTACGTTACAAAATAACGGAGTTTATAAATTTCTTATACGCATAGTTTACATCAGAGCAAATAATTATTTTAAAATTTTGAATATACAAGAGATTAAGGCTTTGAAGTGGAATGAATTCTATATAATAAAAAGTACTTATATAAATTATAATGATATTCTCATATTATAAATGCGTTATGAATTTGATAAAATTAGCAATGTTTGAATATAGTAATTTTATTTCATAATTAATTCATCTTCTCATTAAAAGATAAAATTTTAAATTAATTTTTTAATATTTGACTTAAAATTATTATTTTATAATCAAATGAATGCTCCTAACTAAAATATAATTCATATAATTAAATTCCAAGTACAATAAATTCTGTAAAAGTTCTTTAATTTAATTGGCATTATCGAATATATTTATTTACCAATTGAACTTTCACAAATAGAATTTTATTATTTTGTTTTTTATTTAAGATGCAAGAAAATAAGTACAAATCAGTTTCAAACGAAGAAAAATTTAAAGAAGCTCATGTTTCCGAATTCATTGTTATGAATTATCAGCGAATTTTGAAAGAAATCAATATGAATTGTTTGGTCTGTCTGGTAAGTATGTATAAGTACATGTGTGGGAGCGAGTATCTCGAGGCTTTTTCCGCGCATAGAGGATCTTGTGTCTAGTCGCGCCCACATTTGGGCCAAGTGCTCCTTCTGAATTTGGGGTTCTCAGTTGCTAATTCTTCGTTCTTTCGTCTGGATGTAAATGAGACCGAAGAAGTCGGGGGACAGCCACTTGACTCACAATCAGTGGCGCGCGGCGCTCGAGACAACCACGAGTAGATTTAAAGCCAACGTCTCTCTCTCTTTCTCTCTCTCTCTCTCTCTCTTTCTCTCTCTCTCTCTCCTGTTTCTCTCTCCTCTCCTCTCCTCTCCTCTCCTCTCCACTCCTCTCCTCTCCTCTCCTCTCCTCTTCTCTCCTCTCCTCTCTCCTCTCTCTTGTCCTTCAAGTTCTTTTTGAGATCGACTTGGACATTTAAAATTTTTCAAATACGCAGGCCCCTTAAGAGCAGAGTTGGTTTGCAGGCGGAGCGACTCTGCTTTAGCGAAGCCAATGAGTGAGTGAATGTACGAACCAGTAAAAGCAGAGAGAGAGAGAGAGAGAGAGAGAGAGAGAGAAGGCAAAACATGAGAAGAGAGACGAATTATAGGCAAGAGAAGAGAAGAAAAGGAAAGAGAATTCGAGCGTCTAGACACGCTAGCCTCCTAACGACATTTTGATTGACAACTATACGACTCTTTAAAAGTGCAGACCCCCGTTTATTTTGGAGAATCATTTAGTAGCTACACAAGTTAGGAAACAAAAACAAACAGAGAGACACAAAAAATATAAAAGACCAACCGTGAATTTTTTCGAAACTCAAGCTACAAGACATAAATATGTATGTGCTAATACGCTTGCGATCTGGAAACTGCAGGCTAAATTTGATTCTCGTAGGCATGAATGATAAATTGAAAAAACAAAGAAGGCAGGTAAAAGGGCGCGCAGAAGGATCGATGAGTTGACGGGACTCCACAATATTTCCTCTCATACACGAATAATGGCAAATCCGCTGAATTAATACTTGGCCCCGTTCAGTAGGCGATCGGGTGAGGAGTGATCGATGTCATCGTCAACGTCATCGTCATCGCCGTTCTCGTAATCGTTAGCTATCGTTAGTGGATGCAACAACGTCCACAAGGAGGATGATGTTGGCAGGCTGAGCACCGGCGGCGTGTCAGGCGTAAGAGGAGGCGGTAACGGCGGTGGCGACGGCGGTTACGGCGGCGGTGCCAGAGGTGGAGGGGATCGGCCAGACGAACTGTGCTAGTTCGAAAGTTTGTCCCGGTTTGTCTGGTCTAGCCAGACCTGTCAGCCGATTTCAATGCAGACGGCATTATAGCCGCATATTATTCGCGTCGGAAAGTTTGCCGCCGACTGAAAGCGTGAATGACTTTGTTCTTTGGTTGCTCTCCATTAAAGACCGCGGAAAAGGGAGTCGGTTGGCAAGCGGCGGCGGTGGCAACGGCGACGGCATCACCAGCCACCGACTACCGCCGCTGTTTGCTAAGCGTTAATTAGTGTTTGACCCGACTAAAGTCTAGACTAAACTAGATAAACACGTACGCGCCGCCACTAGCCTCTAGGCGTTTGGCGTGTGCGCGCGCGCGATAATCCTCTGATGAATGTCCTGGACATGTTTACCCAGACGGAAGCCGTGTCTGGCTGCGATAGGAGGACGACGGAAGAGGAGCTCCCCCGTCTCCGCTCCCTCCCGCGTGTAAAGTGCAAGACTCGCGAGGCCTCGCGAATCGCTTGCGTAACTTCGGCCTCGGAAATTGGTGGTGTAGATGTACGGGGGCGTGACGGGCAGTGGACAGAAAGGGGATTGAGATGGTTATTCGGTGGGTTTGAGGTTTGGCGGTGGAGCGGGGATAAGGAAGGGGAGGGCAAGCGTTACTCAATGAGCCGAATAAATTCGACGGCGGCCGATGCCGCTGCGGTGTTGGGAGTGTCGGCGGCAGGGACGACGCGAAGCTCGGAAAACCGAGCGTCTAGACGCCCAGGATTTCTGCCGGACTTATTTGCGGCTCCGGCAACCCACCTGTTGCCTCCCACACTGCCGGCGGCCGCGACACCGGCCGAGCCCCGCTCGCCCTGAGCTATTTCAGGACGGCTGGCCAACAATTACTTGCCCGCCAACGACAATATCTCTCCCTCCCTCCCTCCCTCCCTCCCTCCCTCCCTAAATATACCCCAATAACCCAAATAACCCGAATAACCCTTCTCATCTCATCCCATCGACAATGCATCGAGCAAGTTTCTCGAAAGGAGATAAATTTAGTGATAAATTCGGCACTTTCTATATATATTGGTTTGGGGATGCGATCCTCCTTCCCTTCCTTCCTTCCTTCCTTCCTTCCTTCCTTCCTTCCTTCCCACTCATTCTTCGTACATTTTCCCATTCTTTTTATTTCCCTTATATAATCCCTCGTCGATTATTCTCTCGGGCCCTTTTCCTTTCATTGGGTTTTCTTAGGGATTTTTGCGGATCAGTCGACGCGCCCTCGTTTTGCCGCACATTTTATGGAACATGGTAAAAGCATTTATTTCGAGCCGTATCAACTTCGTATTGTGTGGACCATTCTCCAAAATCCTTCAATTTCTAATTGGTTTATTTGCATAGTTTCGGCAAACTTTTAGTAAGGCTTTCTATATTATTATTATATTCTACAGGACTTAAGAAAATTATTTCAAACATAATACTAATGTGTACAAATCAAACGATCCACTGGCTTTGCATTTTTAATGATTAATGATTTAGTTTTATAATTCAATATATACTACATCGATACACTGATTAAAATATTGTAATAAAAATTAAAATAAACGCGCTCAATAATTTTGTACTTTATATGTATTAAAATCTTGTATAAATATACAATGATACATATAATTCAATTATTGGCATATCATATCTAAAAGCTACATCTAGCCACATTTAAATGTCATCTACACTGAAACTTATCATAAGCAGAGCTTAGCCATCAAAATAATGGAACTTCATTTAAATACTCATTTATGTCAGACATATTTACATCAAACATATTTACATTCACCAATTTAACTCCACTTATATGCTAGAAATAAAAAATAATTAAATGGAATGATAAATCGAAATAAGATAATAATTAATACTTCTGATAATTTCTGAAATTAGAGCCAAGAAAATTGAACTGTATTATTTGGCAAGAACTACTTTTATCACTGTGACATTAATATAATTGAATTTAAAATGATTAAACATTACCGACCACAGTTTCTGAAAATAATTTTCATTTTTCTCATCGAATTTATTAAATGAAAATGGAATTGTAATGTAATTTTAAAATATTTTAATAAAAAAATTTATTGAGGAACATTTACAATAAAAAGACTAAATCTAAAAAAAAAAGCAAATAAAACATAATGAAAAATTTATTTATAACTAATTTAAGCCTAAAAATTATTTTATACTAGATTAACGGATAATATTATTTATAATTATTTAATTCTTTGATAATAAAGTTGTATATTTCTAATGTAAAACAAAATATATAATAATAATAATCAATAACATTTATTATTTTAGACCTGCTTTAAAATAATATATAAAAATGTTATTAAAAATAGTAGTTGTTTATAATTTAGTCACACTATCAAGGTAATAATTATAACTACTCATACATATAATTCTTTCGATTAGTGCATTATAAAAAGAATTTGCAAATACCGCATTATTTTCTATTAGATTGTTATTTAAGCGACATTATAGAAGAAAAAAAAGAAGACCGAATATAGGCAAATAAATTTGATGTTTGAATATCAGAAATTTTATTGAATTCCATCATCTCGAAACCTTAAAAATGTTAGCTCTCTATAAAAACTTAGATAAATATTTAAAGAATAATATATTATGTAATGAAATACGTTACATAAATTAACGTAATTATACAAAAAATATTTATATATCTATTATTTATATGTTTAAACGTAGTAGTATAGTGGCACTGTCTACAACAGTATACGACTGCACTGCATACATGTAAATGCCTAGTTTTCTTATTTGTTTAAAACGACCATATATATTATCGAAATAAATAAATTTTTTAATGATGAGAATAACAAAATTCTATCTATTTAACAAACAAAAATCAATAAAAATTTATAATTTAGATGATAATACTACTTACTGTTACTATAGGATACTGCTTACTAATTTGACTAAATTTCACTCGATATATTTCTTAACAATATATATTTCCAAAATACTATAAACGTATATGTAGATATTAAAGACTTGTATACTTGTAAATAATTAAAAATACTCTTTTTCTT